CAGTATCAATCACCACTAGACAAACTAACTATTGGTTATAACATTTATGATGAGATGAATATCTTTAAAATACACATAGAGTTGGTATTTCCTAAAGTTTATATCTTTGTAGGGGAAGGGATTGATATCCAAAAAACTTTGATGACGATAAGATGGGGTTTTTTTGGTAAAGAATTTTAGTTTGTGTTTCTAAGAGTAAACTTTTTGTTTGGAAGAATGTTTAGGAGATAAGTAGTCATTTGAATTGCATGATAAAAAAAAGAAGATGGTAGTGAGGCATGAGCAACAAGAGTGTAGATGATATTATATATAGTATTAATTTTCTCTCGACATTTTTATTTTGGAATGAGGTGTGGTTATTTATCATATTGAAAATAACTTTTTAATTTTGGAATGAGGTGTGGTTATCACATTGAAAATATTTAATTTTTTTTTAATTGTGTTTTAATGTGATTATGAAGTTGAAGAAAAACCAAGTGAATTTAAGATTGACAGTTGCTTATGAAAAAAAAATACAGTGTAATTTGCATTTTATTTTATTTTAAAAAAGATACATATTTTAAAATAAAATGTTTAAATGAAATAAATTTAATATTTTTCTGATAATTTTTAACAACAAAAATATTTTTTTTCATATAATTTGTTAAAAGAGAGTATGTGTTAATTAAACTAAATGAATATGAATTATATTTACCACAAAAAAAATGAATGTAAATTATTGATGCAGAATTCAATTTTTGAAGGTATCATTTATTTACATTAATGTAAACAAAATAATTTAAAAAAAATAAATAATTTATAGACACTAACTAGCAGAATAAATATATTGATATATTGGATATTTCTATAGGATTTGTTTTCTCGGACTAAAATAAAGTATTTCAAAAAAACAATTTGGAAAAACCAAGAATGTGCTTCCACTAACTGTGTTAGTATTTATGTTTAGTAGGTTACAAAGTGTCTAAGATTTCTAAACTCAATTTTTACTGGCCACTAGGAGTAAGTTAGGATAAATCTAACCTAAGATAAATTTATAAGACTCACTTATAATGTATTGTAATCTATTGTAGCTTTTTTTTTTGACTTGATGTGGTCTTTTTTAAAGTCCGGTTGTTTTTCATTAAGGTTTCAAATAAATTTATATTATTTAAGAAGTCTTATATATATATATATATATATATATATATATATATATATATATATATATATATATATATATATATATATATATATATATATATATATATATATATATATATATATATATATATATATATATATATATATATATATATATATATATATATATATATATATATATATATATATATATATATATATATATATATATATATATATATATATATATATATATATATATATATATATATATATATATATATATATATATATATATATATATATATATATATATATATATATATATATATATCAACTTATTTAAATTATTTTTAATATATATAAAAATATAAGTCGTCGGCATATAAGATTTTATAGGATTTTTTTAATAAGTAAAATCTGGCCTATTTAATTAAATAAATTTTTAAAAAAACCTAAACCTTTTTAATAAATAAGTTTGACCTGACTTAACCTCAAAATAAATTAGGCCATAGATCCTTATAGATCCACCAAACATATTCCTTATTCCCATCCTGGCCACTACATTAATATGTTTTATACGCGACCTCATTTGCTCCAATTTACGCTTATAGAAGACACGTTGAACACCAGGAGAGTTATTGTATGCAAAATAACATTTGGAGCCTAAAAATAAAAATGGAGCAATACATGCAAATGATAAAAGGATAGAAGAAAATGAAGAGAAATGGGTGTGTATGATAGTTTTAGTTCTGTGGATTATAAAAGCCGTATCTTTTTCACCCTAGTAAGCAAAAGTTTACATAAGCCACTTCATAAAAATTCCATTACATATAACAACTTTTAAATTAGAAATGATATAACCAAAACTCATCTCGGCGGATTCGCCCAGTTTTACATATTTTGACCAATGGAAATACTCAAACAACTCAAGTTACAAGCACCTCTCATTTGCAAAGTATCTATCACATAACATAATTACATGGAAACCAAATCAGCATATTTCACCCAAAATCAAGTTATTTTAATTAAACCTACTGAACTTCTTCCTTCTACAACTTGACAGAGGTCCCCAATCTCCAATGTTATGATTTTATACCATAATTCCCAATAAGATAGATCTAAGAATAATTCTTCCAACAATCCCAAAAACCAAACAGAAAGATAATTCTAATATTTGAGTTATAAATAATAATTACAAGTCAAGATCAACTCAGTACTTGAGTAAAATGAGCTAAGGCAACTATACTAAACCTTTTGACATATACATTTATGTAACCCACACACCGTTTTGTCCCATTTTACAGACAAAACTATTTCCTCAAAATAGAAAACATAACTCAACCAAAAGCTAGCTAACAAATATTAATTATATTGATGAGGATAAGAATAGAAGTGCACTCTAATCTTGACAGTTTCCTTTCGATTACAAATTTCAAACAACCCAAAAACCAACAACATCGAGTTAAATATCTACCTATATGGTAAATGCAGGAGCAAGACCCTCCAATGTTATAGATAATGTGATTTTATATCTGTTAAAAAGACAAGAAACTCACATTAACTCAAATTCAACCATGCAAATCATAAGCAGAAATATAGCTTCGCTAGTAAAGAGACAGAAGAGTGTGAAAAGAGAGCGAGAGAGAATTGCTTTACCTTCCGACATTCATTCGATCAAACCCGAATAGGAGATTAATCTAGATCCGGAAGAAAAGAATGAAGAGAACTTGAGAGGGAAAGAGAGGGGAGAAATCCTCCCCTCGTAAACCTTCCAAACACACCCTAGGAGAACATCACAATCACATTAAACTTACGACTTTACACATTAAATCCTCCTCCTATTATCAACTCGAGCTTTTTTGGATGTTGATCCAGCTTCTAGATGCTCGCCACTGGATTCAATCTGGATGAGAAGAAGAAAAAATTCAAAGCTCAACACTACAAAAGATTCCAGTTCATATTATGAAGTAGGGTGCATTACCTTATCAAGCTTATCCCTGACAATCCTCACTGTTTGATTCATGGAATGGGATGAGAAATAATCCTGTTTATACATGTTAGGGTAATAGATCAAAATTCAAAACCAATAAACCTTTTCTCTTAGCACACAACATCCTGTATTCCTAGTTAAAATAAAATTGGTAACTCCAATATCACGATAAATTATAATATCAGATCTAGCAATCCAGCAACTAACAGATAGCAACAAAAATAACAACTGTGAAAATGAATTTCCATCAGAGATATGAAGATAGCTGAACACTTTTAAAGTACTAGTGACTATTGGCTTCTTACGGATACAAGGTAGATAAAAAAAACTCCAGCAGCATCAAAATGCTTTAACAAATATTCTAGCGACATTAATTTCAATAGAGAACTCCGTTCATCTTACGAAACAATTCTTCCACGTAAAAGGGTATATAGTAAGTAGAAAAGATAAAATTCTTCACATGTGTATATTTAAAAAAAAAAGAAACAACAAACCTCGTTATATGAAACGGTTCTTTTTGGAAGAATACTGTTGTCCGGCCTTCCTTCAAATTCTGCTTTCCTACATTTAGGAAAAAAATCAATTATATACCTTATGGTTGGTTATACACATTGACTTAGCTTCAAATGGAAGCAAGAACTGAAAAATTAATTCAGAAAAATAGATAACCTTGAATCAGAATATAAAGGTTCTGATAGGAAACTGGTGTTGGAAGTAATTAGGGGCCTAGAATTTGACGCAATAGTCTCTTTAGATCTTCTAGCTGAAGAACTCATGTAATAAGCAGTTGTAAGTCCTACATAGCATGACAATATTTAAAACGTAATAACCGTGGTAAGCTTTAATCTTACGGTTCAATCGAGCTAAAACCTCCCTTCTTCTTCCTTCCAATTTATCCTTTGTATCAGACAAACTCTCAAAATGGGGAGCATACGAAACCTGTAGTGGGTTCCCAAGAAAAACAAACAGATCCAATTTTCTTTTGGCAAACCTGAAAATTGTAAGAGTGAAACTAACTCTCTCAACCCCAAACCTTGTCTCAAACACATCCTAGAAGGTAGAACTAGTTGGATTTGACAAGGGGAAAACCTGGCATTACTGAAAAGACGGAATTTGATCCAATAAACATCAGTGAATTGCTCACATTCTTCGGCATCCATTGGTTTACACCTAAAGAGAAAACAAAGATAGATTCAAACAAAAACCACTAACCACTAACCGCGCGAGGACGAAGAAATCAGTGAAGTTATTAAAGAACTTACTCCTCTACTTCTCCATAGGATGAAAACAGTTGCAGCAAATCATCACCACAACCTAATGCCGGAACGTTCCTCACAATCAAATATCTGAATACTCTCAACAAAAATAAATTAAAAATAAACAAACAATTGTAAACCAGAGAGTGTAAGTTGAAAGGATGAAAGTAACGGACCGTGATTCATCAGAGACGGTGTAGACACGAACCGCAGGAGACTCGTCTTTGTAACGAGGCATCTAACAATGATTATCAATTCAAAGGAGTTAAGCGCAACGAGAGAATTTAAAGGAGTGAAAAAAACAATAACGATTCTCAAATCCCTAAATACGTTCAAAATCAGCCTGAACCGGTCGATTTGATCGGCTGAACCGTGAACCGGTTGATTTTATGGATTTTTAAATCTGGTACGTCAATTTTGTTAAATGGTTCGGTTGAGCCGGTTTGTAAAAAACATTACACTTACGACATGTAAATTAAATTCTAATTAAGGGGTTAGTGTAGTTCTTGCTTTTCGTTTTCTACCCCTTGGGAACAAAAATATTTTGGGTCTTCATTTTTTCAGTTCAAGAGTTTTTCCCCTCTTTCGATTTTGCATTCAATCGTTTCCAATTTCTTCCGAAGAACAGAAACATGGATGCGCAAGCCAAGAAAAAAGCATTTTTCCGTGCCAAATTGAATGCCCAGAAGAAGGACAAACGCATAGAATCTCCCCTTGTTAGGTTTACACTTCAATTTTACGCTATTGATTCTGCAATCTTCAGTGCTTTCATTTCTCTATTTCTTTCTATCCAGTTATAGAATTGTTAATTTTGTCACCCATTATACTACTGCTTTAGCTGTGCACTTTTATTCATATAGTTGATTTTTTTTTTTGTGGTTAATGTATATATCATTTTGCATCTGATTATATCTACTCGTGTACTTGTTTGTGTTTGTTATTAGTAGCATCGGCACTTCGTATCCTTGTTCGAAATATTACCGTGGTATTGTTGTTCTTATTACTATTGTTTATCTGTGCATATGTATACAGGTATAATGAATCTGATCAGCCTGTTTGTCGGGTTTGTGACGTTGTTCTGAAGTCTGAGTCCCTATGGGATGCACATCAAGTTTCTCGAAAACATCGTGAGGTGATGATATATAGAATGTCGTTTATGTTTTCTATGTGATTTTTGTTTCACAACTCTTTGCTCGTGTTTATATTGTCATTTTTTTAAGGCATGTTTTGTTTCCCTTTGCATTTGTTTCACACACTCTCCAAAACAAGATTACATTAACGGTGTTATTATTTTGGTTAGGCAATAAGCAATCTTAAAGCTAATGCGGCTGGGTTAACCAAGCAGAACAATGCTGAGCCGGATATTCCAACTAAACGGCCTAAACCTGAGCAGCCTTCAGACTCACAGTTCAAAATTCCTCAAAGTCCACAAGTGCCTAAACCTCAGTCATCATCCGTTCTTCCACCAGATTTTTTTGACAACAATGACGCAAAGAAGATGAGATCGGGTAAGAATTTGGTTTAAAACAATGAAGCTGTAGTTTGTATGTGCTTATTTTCTTGTACATTTAAAAATACGGAGTTGCACTTGGACATCATAATAAACGCAGTCACAGACAAATACACGTTTGTTCCTACACATATTTTCTGTAGGTATTTAAGATCCTGTTTGTTCATTTACACATTTTTGAGAGGTTCAATTGGGGGATAGAGAACAGTTTTTAGGTCAAAACTAGAAAAAGGTCATGGGTTGCTTCTAGCTGGTCGTACTCCAGTGCAGGCCGCAGGGTTACAACACGGTGTACTGCACCAATCATACCAATTTGTGATCCCAGGTGTGGGCGGTGTTAAAGTGATTGGTTTGATAATGGCACTATCTGCATTATGTTATAGCTTTATTTTCCGTCTCCTGTGCTGTTTTTGTTAGCTTACTTTGCAGTAGTTTGTGTGGTTGTGTTACGCTTCTGGTAGTCAGATCTAGAGCATTCCTAGTCCGTTAGTAACCTTTTGAACTTGTTAGAAGCTTCCTAGTCAAACAGAGTTGCTAACTGTGTTAAGCAAGCTTGGGCAGAACTACAAAAATTTGCACTCTAGTCATAATAGAAATTCAGATTCAATACAAAAGTGTATTCACACTACATTTTCGTTTCATCTCAAATTTGATCATTTTTTTTTTTATAATTCTTTGTTCTTATTATATCAGGATTAGGAGTCATTATTATAAATAAATAATCATGCTTAGTCTTATGTATAAAACCAAACCATAATCACGACTCAATATCTTTCTTCTTTGTCTTCCCTCTTTCCTTATCTATAAGACTAACCATACAAGTTCAACGAGGTATCAAAGTCCTCTTGTCTTTAGTAATCGTTCTCAAATCATCACTGTTTTGTTGTTGAGTTCCCAAAGGCTTAGAACTCTATTTCACAAATTCCTACTGTGTTTTCTCTCTTTGTGAGTAGGTTTTCTATCTACCACTCTTCAGTATGTCTCTAAAGATCATCATCAATTTGTCTCATTGTTGTGTCCTTACTGCAACCTTAGGTTATCTCAGATACAGTTTTTTATTTTAACAAAAAATGTTAGTGGGTCAGTAGTTTATCCATGTTAGTCGAGAGTGGGGGGCGAGAAGATTGAACCCCTATCCTCCAATACTCCAATTCCTATGCATTCTAGGCGCACCGCCGAGCTTCCCACCCTTTTATTTTGCATTTATAGTTTGGCCCCAGCTATCTCAAATTCAATCTGGTATTGGCTATCCTAGATAGAGTTTGGCTAACCCCAGGCCCACTTTGGCCCTAACTATTCTAGATTAGGGATAGATTAACCGCCTCCCGTTATTAGTTATACTAATGTTGATTTCTCCTACCCCACCAATGAGTTATGCTGTAATGAATTGTTCATGGTTGTGATACAAACCAACCCCTGTTTCAATTTGTTTTTAATATCTTAAGTTTCTAGTGGTTTACGGCTTCCAAATATGCTTATTGACTTGGAGAAATTTTAGTTCCTCTGTTTCTGCTAATGATCATTTTGAGTGTCATTATGCAACATTCCAACTAGCTCTTTAGGTTGATGATCATTTTAGTCATCTGGCCTAGTTGTCTTTTGTAGTGATGCTTATGTCTCCAATGACTCTCACATCTGAGTTGTCCCATTGGAATTAAACCTCGTCCTCGAGGTTAAAAACGGAAAAATATGAGAAACACATCTCAAAATTATTATGTAATTCAGTCCAAGATATCCAGATGCTAAATAACACACATTCTGTTGAGTGTTGTTAACTGATCATCGACATTGTTGTCCTGTTGTACTAAATGCTGAAGCAGGAACTGTAAGAGAATTGCCGGGGCACTGTTTGTATTTCATTGGCAAGATTGGCCCGTCAAAACCAAATTTAAAGTTTGGCTGGCAGAATTTGCAATAAACCTTTCTTCAAGAATCCAATGATTGAGAATAATTTGGGTTTACTTTTTCTTGTTTAGAGTTGGAACCACTCCACCAGAATGCCAATTTTGCCTCCCTTTGCTTTTGAGTTAGCGGCCGTCGCCGGTAGTTTCACTTTCGACCCTAGCTCTTGCCCTCTCGTAAACTTCATTGCAGTTTTGGAATATCACTCGACTATCCTGAGACGCGTCCTACATGTGTAGTTGTTATTTTATAACTTTTGTGTCGAGAGTCCCACGTGTGCTTATAAGTGGGGGCAATCTTCATCCTATATGCCGGTTTTGTAGGGATGAGTTAGGTCCAACCGCAACTCTTAACATTTTGAATAGGTGTTTCAGTGTGATGGGAGCTTGCCTTTTGTAAATAATGATATCACAATGAACAATGTGTTATTTTTTACTATCTTTACTTGATATATCAGATGATGTTGATCATGCCTTGAACTTCTTGTTGCTGCATGTTTGATGATAACATTGATTGTATAAATAATAACTCACTTTTTGTTTCATTGGCATTTTTGCTTCCAGAAAAGGACCCTGTCCATTCAGTGGACTCAGGTTTCGGTAGAAACACAGGGGCTTCTGCTCAAAGTCTGGTGTCAAACTCGGACAAAGATCACTTTGATGGAAATGATACTACGCAGTCAAAGACTAATCAAGCAACGATGGAGAATAGGAAAACATCAGTCAAGATTAAGGATGCAGAGAACAAGCAGGAAAAAGGGGCTCTCCCTGAAGGTTTTTTTGATAATAAAGAGGCTGACTTGCGGGCACGTGGCATTAAGCTTGTAAAACCAGATGTCAAGTAGGTCCCGTCTTATGTTGTTTGTGCATCCATACATTACTACCACATACAAAAATAAAGAATCTAGTTTACATGGAATGGAAGTAAAGATAACAGAAATTTACAAATTTTACCTACATTTGTGGCAGAAGGTATTTTCCATAAATAATGAAAAAGAGAATAGTGAAATTTTTTATAGTTTTTCTCTACAGAAGAGTCTGAGTTTTTGAAGTACGGGGACGAGAATTAGAACAAAGAATAAGTAATAGCATTATTTAATTGTATATCAACCTCGTTTTTAGTCTTTTTAATCGAATAAGTAAAGGTATACTTGGTGTGTTTGCATTCACATTTTTAGTGCAGTATGGAGAACTCCCTTGCATATTTTTTGGTTCTGGAAAAACTAGTTTATGGAAGATTTCTATCATGAAAATAGATTGAAAACATAGAATGATATCGATTCCTTTTGAATGCTTTCATAGAGACGAGTACAAGGAGTTTGAGAAGTTGATTCAAGAGGATTTGCGGGAGGTGGATGACCGGTTAGAAGAAGAAGAGGTGATGATCATTGTTTTTCTTTTGCTATTTTTTCAATCATAAATTTTTAACCTTCAGGATGTAGTATATGCACTACAAACATGAAATTTGATCAAACTTTCGTCACTGGGTGCAGATTGATGCTGCAGAAACGATAGAAGAAGCCGAATCTGCTGAGCAAAGGTATGTGTATCTTTCTCATGCTCCATTCTTTTCCAATTTAATTTGTACATTTCTCCTAAACAACTCCCATCCATCTCAATATTTTGTCTTTCTACAGAAAGTTAAAGGAGAAAGTGGAAATGTTGAAGACGAAGAGATTGGAGTTAAAGGCTGCTAAATCTGCAAAGCGTCGTAAATCTTCTGAGGTTGTGACTAAGAAGTCTATACATGAAGAGTCATCCAGTGATGATGATGAGAGTGGTGAAAACTTTGCTGTTGACTGGAGAGCACAACACTTGTGAATCACATACTAAATACTGGTTGTTGAATTCCCAACATGGGATATATAACTTGTACATTCATGTCACATTCTGTAAGCACAATGATTTTGATCATCTCCTTCTTGTCTAATGTGAAGTTTCTATTTTCAACTATCCTATTTCTGAATTATCTTTGAGCTATTGGACACAAATGTGTTCCTTTTCAATTTTCATGTCATTTAGGAGGTTTATTTTAATTTATTTTATCTATAACTATATATCTATAACTATATACAAAGGCAAAAGACATCAATTAGAGGATTATTTTATATTTTTATCCGCATGCCCACTAAAGAAAGCGGACAGACAAACTCGTGAGTAGGGGTGTTCGCGGTACAGTTTTAATCGGTTTTAAGGTAAGAAATCGTCTGATCTAAAAATGAATTAACTCGCGGTTTGATTCGGTTTTAGATGATTGATTAAAAAATCTAATTCGATTCAATTCTATATAGTTTATTATGGATCGGTTTTTTGATATCCAAATTACAAATCATATTTATATTAATTTTAGAAAAATGCAAATAGATAATAGATTTGTTATAATATATTATATATAAAATACTAAAAATTAATATTATTAAATAAGAATGACCGATTACAGTTAAAATAAATAAAATAATAAAAATAAATAGATTAAATTAAACTAATCATCATATCATCATCCTAAACCATAATCTTATAACTTCTTCCACTAATTTATTTTAAGGTTAAAATTGTTATTCTAACTCCTACAAAATTATAATACTTAATAATAATATTAAGTTATTAATTAAAATAAAATCAACAAAATATGAATCATAATCATTAACCATAAAAATTATATTACGCTAACCCATGTTTCAAATCTAAATTAAAAAAAAATGACATTACAATAATTCCACGTTCTCATACTAAATCATAACCTTATAACTTCTTCTACTAATTTTTCCCTCCAAAAATTTTAAGGTTAAAATTGATATTCTAACTCCTACAAAATTATAATACTTAATAAATAATACTAAGTTATTAATTAAAATAAAATCAACAAAATGTGAATCATAATTATTAACCATAAAAATTATATTACACTAATCCATGTTCCAAATCCAAATAAAAAATAATAATAACATTACACTAATCCCACATTCTAAATAATTACACTCCATGCATATCAATTTAAGTCTCAAATAACTACTCATTCGGTTCATTATTAAGTGTCATTTTAAATTATTTTTTTTTCATTTAAATGTCATTTTTATAGTTTAACGGTATAATCTGTCAATTATATTCTTACATTTTTTATAAAATTAATTATTTTTTAATTAGTTATAAAAAAAATAATAAATGAGAATATAATAGAAAAATAATTTTAACAATCCACTATTTTGATTGGAGAATTTTATATTAAAATGACACAAAAATAAACTGAGAGAATATATTCCATGCATATCCACAAAAAGTGCTCAACCATCATATAATTACTCATTAATACCTATATAAAACTTGGATTTTTATACATAATTCATATTAATATACATAGAATATTACTTAATAATAATAATATCCATAATTCATATTAATATACATATAATATTACTTAATAATAATAATATCCATAATTTTATTTTTACAAATAATAATAATTAATAATTATAAATCAAATAAGAAACATAAATGATGGAAAAATATTTGTTTTTGAAGTAATTCACTAGGCACTTTATCATATATCATACTAAAGTAAAAGATTTGAATAAACTACTCCAATGGAAAATGCTCTCCACTTTCTCTATCCACAATTTGCAATAAAGCGGTTGCAAAAATTATTATAATTGGTTTTCTTTACTATTATTTCAATATTACAATTATAATTGATAATTTATTAATACTAAAAATAGGTTAAAAATATTATACATATTTTTTTTCTTCTTATTATTACTAAGTCATTCATTTCAATTTTTATAAGAGAATAAAAAAATGCAATAAAATATTTTTATATTATCAATCAAGTCATATATCACAATAAATCTTAATTTTATTTTCAAAATATTGAAATGATATGATAAATATAAAAAATTTAATTGGTTATATGTGTAAAATTGATTTGCACCATTATATTTAAACTCTTATTTTAACTTTCACTAACTTTGGTCAATAGTTATAACAATAAATTTTTAATTTCAATATTAAAATTATAGTTAATAATTTATTAATGTTAAAAATAGGTTAAAGTATTACGCATAATTTTTTTCTTATTATTACTAAATCATTCTTTATAATAATCTCACTAATTCTTTCAACTCTCACTTATCCATAAAACTTTCTTCAATAATTATAACAACAATTTTTTTCAATATAACTTAATTTGAAGTATCAAGTATTACTATAAAACATCAATACAATCAATTTATATTTTACACTTATTAAAAAATTTAGACTTTTGTATCTTTTCTAACTAAAGACTTTACACTTCGTATCATTTGTTTCGTGCTATATAGCACATCCCATTTTTTTTGTCCCTATTGTTCGTTCGCATCAAATTGCACCTCAACGAAATCACAAAGGGCTTTGCAAATTGCAACCAGGTGAGGTCATTTAGTCGGTGTTATTAAAGTCAACCGGTCCAACCGGTTCAAATGTAAACCGGAATAGAGAACAAGGGTTGGGTCACCAATAAACCTAGTTGATTTGGCTCAAATCTCAAATTTTGATGGTAATAAATATTAATGTAGGGAGTTCTTTTTCACTCCCAATTCTTTAAGGCTTTGTTTGGATTGGTGGAATCAGATAGAGCGGAACAGAGCAGAATAGAGTGGTGTGAATTTCATTCTATTCTATTACTTACCACTATATTTCTCCCCCTTTGATTTGGGCAGAATGAACAAATTACTTTGTTTTATCCTAAAATTTCCAAACAATAGAATGGTTTTTTCATTCCGCTCCGCTCTATTCCACGTCATCTCACTCCGCATCGCTCCATTTCGTTCCGTTCATTTCATGATGTCCAAATATAGCCTAAAATTGATTATGTTCCTAGCTAAAGTGAAAATATTAGAAGATAAATTATTTTGATCTTTGGATAATAAGGATATGTTTGATTTTATTTTGTAAAAGTGTGTTTTAGTTTTATAAATTTTAACTTCCCACTTGTGGCTTCATATTTTGTTAAAGCATTCGCAAAAATATTTTCTTATCTATAGATATGGGCCACTTTCACCTCTTCAAACACCTTCTTTCTCCTCAAAATTTTCTTCACTATGGATAAACTATTCATATTGTTGTTATTCTTGACTTGAGCATTCATATGATTATGGTTGAATCAACGTTCAGCTCAACTCTAGGAAAACCTAAACCCATAACAAGAGAGAGGCCTTCAAAGATACATCTGCTCTAGCAACACAACAAGTTCCTAACGATTTGAAAAAATCACCCTTGCACTATCCACCCATATCTCTGATAATACCTCTGCAACCTGAAACGCTTCCATTTCTGCAAGCTCCATATGTGTTCAGCTTCATCCAACCTCTCTCTGGGGGTTTCCAACTCACCATGATTATAGAGTTCTTCTTGCTGACAATTACCGTACTTTTCTTCATGTTTTTTCATACTCATCCAATCTATTATGAACATGGATACTCGGGTAATCATGCATATTAAAGTTCTCATCATGGATTTTCTTATTCCTCCAAAACTATATTATGGCATCCAATTGTTCAGTAGTTGGCCCAGTGTTGATTCATGCTAAGAGTTAGTTCAATCCAATATTCTAAATCCATGGAAAATAAGTTCATTTTTATACTTTCAGGAACTTTGTGTAACCAAGTTTTCTTAGCCTTGAACTGAGTCATAATAGGATCAGGAAGTAACTTGCCTCTGATAGAATCACTGACCAAATTTCTCAACTGTTTGAACTTCCTTGATGAGGAATACATGTCTGCAGATAAAATTGTTCATTTCAAAAAATGGTAATTCTAATGCAAAGTTCATGCAAAAGTTTTGAAATCAAAATCATTTTTGGGATGATATTATTGATGTATAGCAAATGGATCACTGGTCAAAACACAATGGTTTAGACATTCAAAGTGAAAGAGAAATCAAAGGTATTATTCTGGACTGGCCCAATGACTAGAATTGGTCCAATATGATTCCATCTTTGGCACGGCCCAATAATGTTGGCCCAGCATTATGGCCGACCATGCCCTCGAACGACGCGACCAACTATGCCTAAAATGCACGCCTGCCCGTGCGGGCATCTACTGAAGGTGTGAAGAAAACGCAAGAAAGAGGGATTTGAATTGGGTTTTCCTTTCTTGAATAACTTTCTCTTCTAATCATTATTGGTTGAACAATGCTTCTAAGTGTTACTTCTAATTAATGCTTCTAATTAAGTTAAGAAAACATAAACTCTAAAGCATAAGCAAACGTAAAGAACACACGATATATCCTGGTTCACTTGAGAAACCCCTAAGCTAGTCTAGTCCACCCTTCTGAGGTGATTTCACCTTGAACTCAAGGACTTAATCCAATGACGCGTTCAGGGATACAAACCGGATATAATGTTCATTGACCCAATATAATTCGATCCCTCAGAATCTCCTATCAGAGTTTCCTTCCAATGAAATCCATCAGTGATCTCAAAAGGCCGACCTTCACTTAGTCCCCTTTGAGATATGACTACCATTGATCCAATATAATCCACTACCAGGATTTCATCTACGATGACCGCAACCAAATTCTTCTTGAGAACTCTAAGTCAACCGTGTCTCTCAAGGAACCATCAAACAACTGTTTGATTTACATTTGTTTACAATATTAATGCTTCTACACAAGATGGATGTAAGAAAAATTAAGTACATCAGAAGAACCTAATACACACTAAAAGATATTACATTGTATTGTAGCTTTAATGTGTGGTCTTCTTTTCTTCAAGTAGCTTCTTCATGAACAACAATCCAAAGCACTTAAATTGTTGAAGTCTTCTTCTTCATAAGCTTCTGGAAGCTTTG